TGTGTTGCAGCTGGAAGCACAACACAAGCAGGAAGCTATAATTTGCCTCCGAAGTCAGCCTTGGAAGGAGGGGAAGGGGAGATGGAAGAAAGGGGGCAGTTACGTTAGAGGCCCTGTAGCTGAAATAGTTGCGGAGGAGACCTCACTCCATCGAACATAAATCAGCGGCCAGACTTTCTCCTTGCACTAAGCCAGAAAAGATGGCTTGCAGACCACAGTGCTGGGACCCCCAGCACATGCTAAGCCAGACTGAACAATGGGAAGCCCAGGAAGATGGTGCAGAGGGAACAGGTTTCCCTTTGTCTCTGAAATGCAAACGATGCCTTCCAAATCATGGGATATATTTAGTTACTACGGCAAGGATCCACCCAACTCAGCAGCTTTGGGGGTTAATTGCAGCTTCTTTGAAAGAGAAAAGGACCTCCTGCACCCCCTCTGATAAAAGGTGGGTCTCCGGTAGATGGCTGATTAGCAGCTGAAAGGGGGCCTTTTTGGCTGCCAACCTGTTGCTGCCCGGATTTGGTCGCCCTAGGACAGTGTTGTCCAAACTTGGCCACTTTAAGATGGGTGGACTTCAACTCCCAGAATTCAGCCAGCCATGTTGGCTGCGGAATTCTGGGAGTTGAAGTCCACTCATCTTAAAGTGGCCAAGTTTGGACAACACTACCCTAGGAGAAGGAGAACCTGAAACTGAAACTGAAACTGAAAGTGCCATGCAAAAGGGAGGGAGAGAAAGAAGGAGTTTGCCGGAGCAAAATCTGCTCAGCTTACATTTCCCCCCATTAGTGTGTTTGCTGAATGTCTGACGATGTACGCACACCTCCTGTATTTGGAGCGCTGGAAGCAGACCGGAGCAGGTATTGGGAGCTCACTTGCACTGTAGGGATTTCCAAAGGAAATTCCCGGGTTGCCAGCCCACCAGCCAGAACAGAAAATGTATTCACCTGCATCACCTATGAGAAATACCCTCAAGAACCATTCAGCCTTTCAGATCTGCTTGCAACAATTCAGAGCAAAATGCCTGAATCTTCTGTTGGGCATTTGAAAGATTTTGAAGAGGGAATGTTCTGTCAAATTCAGTGTTGCAGCTTTAAATTTATATCTATC